TCATAATATACTGGTAATTCTTCAGATTAGACCCTCACTGAGTTCCCAATTGAAGACATAGAAAAACACCATGAATAATCAAATGGCAGTAAAACGTAAGTATACAGTGATCAGTGTTCTAAATATCTATACAATCAAAGAAATTATGATACAGGGGAGAACAGAACAGTAATGGAAGTTGGTTAGCAAATATTTGCTTACTTATTGTTTGACATATATCTGAAAACATTTTTTGCTGTATATTAAGCTTGATAATGTTTGATGTCATATTTGTTATCAGGGTTTATATTTTTGATTATAGTTGATACATACATACATTTTTTCAAAACATTTCATTGTAAATACTTTCAAATCTTTTCTTGTTTTCCGTTCGAAATATGACATTTTTTCTAACTATTACTGTTCTCCCCAATGTTGTTTTTATGTGTATCTATCAATCTAAATACGTCTATGCAGCATATTCAGCTTGAACAATTTCAATAACATACTGTAATGATTCTAAACCATACATAACTATAGGAAGAAAAAGGGCCTGAGTTAAGATATTCGCAATAAAAATAAACAAAATAAAAATCAGAAATAACTGCTTAACAAGACACTGTGTATTGAAGCTTTTATCAGGATATATAATAGATCATTAACAATTTATCAAAAGTAATGTATATTTATATAACTTGGTAGCACATATATAGGTATATATCTTGAACAATACAATAATGTGTTCGAATGTGTGTGGTATGTTACACAACTTCCCAAACTGTAAATCATAATGAGTAAAGATAATACACTAACATATTGAGCTTTTGTCTAAAGAAAGAGGAAGTTTTTTCTCGAAATGGTACTTCATTTATTATTCTTAAATTTTATTTTTGAGAAACATATCAAAATACGTATTGAAAGCATCAAATACGATGCTATTTGTTTTGTCAAATAACCAAAATTTTATCCTATTGTAATTCTGTATATTTCATCTATACACTATCAATAGATAAAAGCTTGTTTTAGCTTCAACACCTGCCTGTATCACACTCTCGATCTTTAAAAAGCATCACTTTCACATATTTTGCCAGGAAGGTACTACCTGTGTAACAGGAAGTTTACAGATAGTAAACACTGTAAACCTTCGCACTTATCTGATTATTCGGGAAAATAAATACTTTTCAAGTTAAAATAAAATGCATTGATACAAAACAACAGTAATGATGCAGAATACAACGAGATGCTGTATCATACTATATCTATTTATACTAGTTTGCTTCTTTAAAAATAAACATTTGAGATTTTGTTTGCAGCCGTGGAAGTTTTATATAAGTTTAAAAACTGTTTAATAGATAGACAAACTATTTTGATTATTGAGGTTATTTACATCAGTTCAAAGAAATAATTTGCCGAGATGTTCCGTAGTTAAAGGGGTAGCAAAATATCGGATGTAATCGGTCAAACAATACTGCTTGGAGATATTGTAGCTATAAAGTTTACTGTCACTATTGTTCGAAACATAAAAAAAACGCTTCTCAGAAAACAATTATGAATTAATACAGTTTAAAAGATTTAAAAAAAAAATCCGGAATGAGCCACTGTCCGTTGTGTAACGTAAATGATATTTTTCGATTTTTCTCTTTTTACCAGTTTGTTCACCTCGAAGTTTAGTTTAAGTAAAGTCGTATTTTGAAGGAGAGCATGCGCACAAAGAGGTCTGATTACCTCTCAAATGCCTTATATGATACAAAAAGATGAAAAGTACATAATTAAGCAATAATATAACTATCCTAATATATTTATCGTGTGTTTAAGAGGCTCAGCACATATTTTTTAAAAGCTAAGATCACGGATAAGATAGAGATTTATCAAGAAATGAAAAGTATTCTAATATCAAAAGACAAAAGCCTGTGTGTGGCTTGCAGTAACTTACTTTTCTAACAAAGATCATTTTATTAAGATGGTAATTACTTTAGAAAACACTTACTTTGAAAGAGAATGTTAATTTGATTGTTTTTGCAATTTATAGCTGATTAAAGATATCTTTCTTAAAAAGAAACGACCAAAATTTACGAACCACATTTGATACCTTTACTATAATGATGTTTAATACATATCAAATAAAAAATCATATTCCTTTAGTTATAAATTATCTGAAAAAGTAAAGAGAATTAATGTTATACAGAGTAGGAGATGTTTTTTAAACTGCCTTTTAATACACATGATTTTGTGCGTGTTGCATTATAGTTTGTTATATTTTTATTTTGTTATGAAACTTGTCTTTTTTAAAGTTATAAATTTGACCATGTCTGTAAAGAAGTAAATATATCAAATGGTTGATTTAAGATTTTTCTGTTTTAGTTTATAGTTAATACAAATTAACTTTAGTCCGATTGTGTTGGAAGCTATTAGCTTATTGAAACACTCTCAAATCCGTTCCTGTAACCAACCACTACTAAGCAATGAGTGTAAATTCTTGCTCACTGAAACAATCGCTTGATGATGACGGGTTTGAACTTAGGTTACTAGTTCAACGCTTTAACCACTCAGGCACAAGAAAACAAAAAAAGTTTATAGCATTATGTTATATATAGATAATAATTCTCTGGAAATTAGCTATGCCTTTGTCAATAACGTACAAGAAAACTATTATTTTTTTGCTTATTTTGATTTTGAAAATATGTACCCATCAAAACGATGTAACGTAGTTTGGTTTTTAGACATGAAAATGAAGAATAGAAAGAACAAAATAACAAATTAGAATTAAAATAAGTCCTTATTGGATTACATAACGAGCAATTAAGATATATTATTTACATAGATAGGCACAACATAATACAGGTATGATCTAGTAAAAAATGAAGAAATTTTTGCGATTTTATCAGCCTCTTGCTGTTGTTATTTGAAATCAGTTTCACTATATAGTATTATAATTGTATTTAATCAGAAACACTGTAATGTGCTGTGAAAGCATACCTAAGCTACTACTAGAGTAGATAGGATAATTAACAGGAAACTGATTTTTTAATGTTTGATTCTGCTTAAACCGGTGCTAGCGTGGCAGCCCAGACAGGCTTGCAACTTGCACCACGGTCCGTGGACAGGCTTCGTCTTCTGCCTTGCTTCGTCGGGCCCTTGTAGGTGATTTTCTTGTTGCTCTGTCTTCCTTTAGGACATTGAGTACTTTTGTTATGGTCATTGGGTTTACTTTTATATGTTTCTACATGATCATTTTAGTGTTTTACTTATTTAACCTTTTGTAACCATGACAACTGTTAGAATTTCACTTGGCGGGGATTCATTTTATTTACACTGTCTCGTTTATAGGAACATGGTGGGGCTAAGAGCGAGGTTTGGTGCACCATTAACCGGTTTAAACTCCCAGCAGTCATTATTATGCTGCTGACCGTTCCAAGGCGGCGCCCCACTGTGTTCCTCAGATGTATGTCTATGTTGTTTCATACTGTTTTGGTGACACTTTTGCTTGTGTCCCTTGTTGTTTTCTCGTCTACGGTAAGTATCTTCCCATTGCCTCTAGTTTTTTTTTTCTTTGATTAACCCCCCCCCCCTTCCCCCGGTCTCCTGTCCCCTTCCCCTTTGTGGCCTATTATTATTTTTCTTTGAATTCCTAATCAGTTACAAACTGTTTATCATTTAAGGATTAACCTGTCCGTGGTCTGTCTTTGCCCTGTCCTGTTTTCGTTTGGGGTCCGCCTGGGCTCCTTGCCATTGGTTCTTGTTGCTGGGTCATATGGGGGTTGCGTTCATTGAACGCCGCCTTTCCTTGTTGATCTTGTTTATCATATTTTAATCAATTCGAGCTTGCATTATCACATAGAAATCAATAGTACTGTATAGTGCAGGTTTAATGTTTTGTTAACTTCTTACCGCACATATCAAGCATTTTCTTATACACTACTTTCATAAAGATTGAAAGGTACCGAGTTTCAAAGTTAAGCTTAGTTTTTGTCAACATAAATTACATGCATTTCGTCATTAAAAACATATGCTAATGAGAATTATGAAGAATCATCTTAAATATTATATTATTTAATTGATATATGTATACAATATAGAACATTATCAAACTTTTGAAGTAAAAAGTTTAGTTTCGTATTGGAAATCACCAAATCCATTTTTAAAGCAAAATTTTTTTAGTATTTTGATCATATATAAAATATTTAAGTTTCATCATTTAAATAATAAAAAATGAGTGTCTATATTATCTTTTGATATGGATCATTGCTTGGTTAATCACATTTGATAAAGCAAATTAATTACATTTGATAAAGCAAATGAATAACAAAACTCTGGAATTGAAAATAAAAGTGACTTAATACAAAATAATGAAACAGCAAATAAATTCAGGAATGCATCTGAACTTTATATATTTATGCATACATGCCTTTGATCATTGTAAAAACTTCGTTCCGTCTTTGATGGAAATCTCATTATGATTGTTTTGAAGAATTCATTGGATGTATTCCGTCAATGGAATCTGATCATAAGTTTTTATAATTAGAAAAATATCATCAGCAGGTACAATAATAGTAGCTTGAAGTAACATTATGCCCATCCAACGGTGTATAGTCAGTTAACATGTGAAATTCAAAGTAAGTTTACATTTGCCATCATACCTTCTTTTTATAAATTACATTACATTAAAGATACATAGCTTAAGTGGCGTCAAGGAAATTTCTATGAATAGCAATCAGAATTTGTCTGTAACGTTTAATTTTAATCATGAAAAAGTCGGGCAGTCTTTTCATATTTTGTCATATAGTACGCATTTCAAGCATTTCCTCAATTAAAACCCGTGGGTCAATTATATTAGACAGCTTGTCCGGTCTTGATAAACAGATGTCAACAACAATAGTACTTTCCGCCTGATAAAGATCTCTAATTACTAGAATGGGGATAAAACATTTTATTAGCGGTAATTAAGTAGAACAATACAATATTAGAGGTTCTTAATTAATGCGTCCTGTCAAGTATAAGCGAATATATATATATGTTTAATTGTTACCTGTCTCGAAGCGGGGAAAAGTTGGTTTAATAATTCACTTTTATTACACATAGCGTAGGTTGATTATCCCTTTAAATACTCAAGGATCAGACTAGTATTTCAGTGTCGGTTTTAATGTTAGTAGGCACTCACTTAATTTTGGTACGCAGTTATAACTTACTCTTTGATTGTTTAACTTGGAAACTTTGATTATAAATAAATGTTGAACTTACTGTAAATGCATATCCTAGTAAACAATAATTAAACTGAATGACATTTGAATATACACTGTGTTGACTTATTGTATTTGAGTTTATTCAGATAACCGGTTACAACACAAGCGGCGTTTTGGTGCTCTAGTGACTTCAGGATTCGTTTTTGCCGACCAGGGGTTTTTCGTGGATCACAGCGCAGACATACACTATCTAACGGTTGACGATCAATTGCAGAGGACCCAGACAAGAGGGGCGGTGAGTTTATTTCTCTTAGTTTTCATGCTTCAATTTTTGACTTAAGCTATGGCAGAACAAGACGTTGCTACAATTTTTGAGAATTTAGGCAGACAACTTACTAATGTTTGTACCATAGTAGGAACTCAAAGTATTTCCCAAGTAATTCCACCTTTTTCGGGAGAAGTGGGCGAATATAAATTGTGGATTAAGAGTATTGAAAAATATGGTGTATTAACAGGGGTAACTGATGAAAGATTAAAACTTGTTGCATATCAATCGAGTAAAAATTCGGTTAGTGACTTTATAAGTAGACATTTAAGAGACCACCCTGACGCTACGTGGGTTGAATTAAAAACAGAATTGGGTTCGAGGTTTGACACCATTCAAGACCCTCAATATGCTTTCTCTTTATTACAATCAATGAGGCAATACAAAAATGAAAATGTTCAAATTTTTGCGGAACGATTATTAGCTTTAGCAGAAATTGCTTACAGGGGAACGGATGGAAATTTGGCACTAATTGAAAGGCAATTGATAGGGTTCTTTGTTTCCGGTCTTTATGAAAATTATCTCAAAATGAAAGTTATGAGAGATAATCCTGATACCTTACAAAATGCGGTTCGATCGGCCATGAATGAACAAAATTTAAGAGCTAGATTTAATTTACGGTTTCAAAACAACCAACATTCATCTTCATATAACCTTCTTCCAGGGCAGGAACCTATGGAAATAGATCATTTTAAAGTGAAAAATTGTGCATACTGTAAAAAACCAGGTCATCATATTTCTGACTGCAGAAAAAAAACCAAAACATGTATTAAATGTTAATTCAGATATAAGGTATTCTAACCCACCAATTAAGTATCAAAGACGACCAGATAGATCATACGATCATCGACAAATTAATAAAAGAGACTCAAACCCTCCAATTAAATATCAGAGACGACCAGATAGATCATATGATCAATCGCAAATTAGCAATAGAGTTAATTATAATAATAGTGGACAAAACTTTTATCCTAAGGGCAATTTGCATAATAATAGACAAGGTCATTATCGTAACCAAAACACACAAAGATCAAACTGGAAAGTAAATATGATTTGTTGGGGCTGTGGGCAATTAGGACATGTCATTCGGGAATGTCATTCACCAGAACGTAATTACCAAAGAAAAAACTAATTTCCTCCTGTTATAATACAGTCGCTAATAGGAGATATAACGAGTCACCAACCTACAATATTTCTTTATGTGGGAATCCATCTTCTTGCTTTATTTCAATTGGAAAAATTAAATTGCGTTGTCTTATTGATACCGGGGCTGAAGTGTCAATTTTATCGCTAAAATCATATAATTCTTTGAAGGTTAAACCAAAATTAACGCATAAATCTGCTAATCTTCAGTCCGTAAATGGTCAATTTTTACACATAAAAGGTTGCATAGAACTCACATTCAAAATTGGTCCTATAAAAAGGACACATTCATTTTTTGTAGTAGAAAATATTAATCGTAGTGCTATTTTAGGTAGAGATTTTTTAATACAAAATGGTGTTCGACTTTATTATGATTTAAATTGTTTACGAATAGGAAATAATTATATTACTTTAGAAGAGGATATTCATGTAGCCTCTATTGTAAGACTCGATAAAGACTGTATTTTAAAACCTTGTACTTCACATATTTTAAGGGGTAAAGTAAAATATTACAATGGGCTATTAGGCGACAACAAAACATATGAATTGTCAGGTTTAAATAATGGGGAAGTACAATCAGATCCAAATATATTTATTATCGATTCAGTCATTCATTTGCATAAACATAGACGGTTACCTGTATTAATTGTGAATAATACACATAAAACTATTAAGCTGAAGGCAGGCTGCCCTCTGGCTAAATTAAGTGCAGTTGACCATTTTGACATTTCACTAATTACACAACACGTTTCAGTAAGTAATGGCGAACCAGATTTTTTTAATGAAATTAATGTCCCAGAAAAATTTGCAGACTCTGTTCGAAATTTATTAAAGACGAATAGGGATGTTTTTGCTAAAGATGACTCTGAATTGTCTGTAACTGATACCATGGAGATGAAAATTGAAACAGGGGAACATCCACCGATAAGATCAAAACCATATCGTGTCCCACTAAAAAACATGCAAGCTGCAAATGACGCCATTAAACAAATGCTTCATGCCAAAATAATATCGCGTTGTCATTCAAGCTGGAACAGTTCAATCGTTATCGTTGATAAAAAAGATAACTCTAAGCGTTTTTGTGTCGATTTTCGCAAACTGAATAAAATTACTCAAAACACAGCATATCCATTACCACGAATAGATGATATAATAGCCAAATTAGGTAACTGTCAGTTCTTTACAAGCTTAGATCTCGCAAGCGCCTTTCATCAGATACCTATTAGGGAGCAAGATAGGCATAAAACGGCTTTTTCCACACCTAACGACGGCCAATTTTGTTTCAATCGGGTTCCATTTGGTCTATCAAATTCACCGGGCTATTTCCAATCATTAATGAAGATTGTATTAAAAGACTGTGACGATTTCGCTGTCAGCTATATTGACGACATTATTGTCTTTAGTTCTAATTATGAGGATCATTTAAAACATATAGAAACTGTCTTCCAAAGATTACGACAACATAAACTAAAACTCAAGTTAAAAAAATGCCAATTCTTACAGGCCGAAACAGAATATCTAGGTTTTGTTATAAATCGTCACGGAATTAAACCAAATCCGGACAAAATAAAGGCTATTAGAAAATTAGCACCACCAACAAATCCAAAGGAAGTGCGCCGCTTCCTCGGTATGACAGGGTTCTACAGATTTTTGATTAGGTCTGGCACCAAAAATTATACGGAAATAATTTCTCCTTTGATTGATCTTACGAAAAAAAATGTTAAGTTTACATGGACGCCACAGTGTCAAGAAAGTTTTGAATTATTGAAAGATAGTCTTACAAAAATTCCGTATGTAGGGTTCCCTGATATTAATAAACCTTATAAGCTCTACTGTGATGCGAATATGGAAAACGTAGGAGGAATCTTAATGCAAGACTGTGACCCTAACGACCAAGGTCTTTATACTAAACAAAAGCCAATCTATTTTATATCACATCGTTTAAGTAAAACGCAACGAAAATATTCAATAGTTGAGAAAGAATTTTTGGCAATTATTTATTGTGTCAACAAATTACATCATTACCTTCATGGCGCTGAATTTACAATATATACGGATCAAAAATCATTAATTTATATTTTAGATTTAAAACCCCTTTTAAAATTTTTAAAAATAAAAAAAAGATTGGGCCCCCAATTTTAAACTAAATATAAAATTTTAAAAAAAGAAAAATTCCCGGCAAAATTAATTTTAGTTGCCCATTTTTCTAAGTAAAACATCGAAAGCTCAGGGTTTTAATAGCTCGAGACCGATAATTTCACGGATATTCCAGATAATACATACGAAATACGAAATGAAAACAAAGTTTTACAATGTAATGCCATTAATTCAAATCAGGTTGATGTTAGGAAAATAAGTGATACCGCTAAGGAACCTACAGACTTATTTGTAGAGCCTTTAAAAGATCTACAAAATATTAACATGGAACTTGAACAAGATAAAGACCCAGAATTATCACTTCTTAAATCAAAATTTAATGACAATAAACTAACATCTTCAGAGGAACGTCATTATATACAATTTGACAACATCCTTTACTATATATCAAATATTGATGATGAACCTTCTTGTCGTCTTATCATTCCAACCCACTTAAGACATATGGTTTTAACTAATTATCATGACTTTGGACATTTAGGTGTCCAGAGGCTATTTGCAACAATCAAGACGAAATATTATTGGCGTAATTTGTTTAAAGATGTTGTCTCACATGTCGGAAAATGTGTATCTTGTAATTCCAGAAATTTAAAGCAAATTAACACTAAACTTAGTGAAACCGATACGCCGAAATATCCATTTCAAGTGATATCTTCTGATATAGTAGGACCTTTAACTTTAACTCCTTCAAATAACCGCTACATTATTTGTTTTACCGATAATTTTACTGGATACATAGAGGCATTCCCTTCCCCAAATAAATCAAGTCAATCTGTCATACATTTTTTCATGACAGAAGTTTATAGTAGGTATGGCTGTCCTCAGAAAATGATAACCGACAACGGGTCAGAGTACGTTAATTCAGCATTTACTAACATGTTGCAAGAATTAAATATTAAGCACATCCGTACATCACCTTATAATCCCCAATCAAATGGTTTACAAGAAAGATCGCATACTGACCTCATTAATCTTCTTGCAAAACTGGTTAGTCAAGATACTCGGGAATGGGATTTACATTTAAATTACTCTCTTGCAGCTCTAAGATTTTCAGTGTCATATCAAAACAAGCAGAGTCCCTATTTCAATTTATTCTCAAGAGATGTAGTCTTGCCTCTCGACAATTTGCTTAAACCTCGACAAAAATATCATGGTGAAGATTATAGTAAAATAATACTAAGTGAAAACCACAGAGCCTTTCTAAGCGCTTATAGATTAATAAAGAAAACAAAACGGAATCGGAATGAAAAAGTTAATAAAAATAGACAGGATATCACTTTTAAAATTAATGACGCTATTTATTACAAGAATTTTAACAGAGCTAGTAAATTGGATCCAAAATGGATTCCGTATTATCGTATCATTGATCATCCTTCTCCACTAACCTATGTTATAAAAAGCGTTCTTGATCAAAAGATTATTCATTGCCACGCCCGTCAAATTCGTTTAGCTAACATTTTAGAATGGGACATCCCAACCATCCCTAAAAACAGACGTGCATGTAACTACGTAGTCCTACCCAAAGATCAAATATCGTCCAATGACAGCCAATCTGACAGCACTTTATCTGCACCAACCAATGACAACACTGACGTAAATCAAACATCACCTGAGGTGTTAAACAGATATAACCACCAATTGGACGACTCTGATGACTTAAATCATGTTCCGTTGTCTCATTTGCAAAAACAATTACACGCGAATGACCATCAATCAAGTTCAAATTCTTCTAGTAGCAATGGAGATGACAATATACCTCTGTCTGTGTTACAACAAAGGTTGCGTAATCGTCCGCAAACTAGCCATGAATCGACTACTCATCTGTCATCTAATGACCATCAGTGTAATAACAATGATTTACCTCATAGGTATAAAGAAAAACATTATAGTTCGTCTGATACGGAGAGTTACGACTTTGATATTAATGCTGTATGCAAACCAAAACAAAAGAAGTTGACACATAAAAGGTCAAAATCTACCACTGCTCATAAAGCTGTCAACAAACTGTTAGTTGAGTGCCTAGCTAAAGTATTATAATATTTTACTCGTATGTTACTTCACATAAATAAATTTCCTTCAAGTTATTTTTTTTTTCTCTCTCTTTTAAAACATTGCCTATGTATATTTTTCAGACAAGATGATCTTACTTTTCTGTTTAATCGTTTGTGCAAGGGCTATGACAGACTATGAAAATGTTATATTTTCTAAAGTGAATGAAATTTCAATAACTAAAGCCCATTGGTCTGCTATTCTCGTTTATGATACAAAACAATTTTCACATTATCTTAATCAGATATCTGGGAATATTATTTCTATAAATCAGACATTACTTAACATGAAACAACATTATACCACCACAACAGATGAAGATGACTTTCAACCCTACTTAACAACAATTTCAGACATGCAGTTAGATATCAATTCTTTACGTCATACTTACGATAATATTTTAACAGAATATACAGATTTTCTGACTTTAAGTAATATTCAAAAGAGAAGTATTTTTGGCCTAGGAAAAGCTCTTAGATTTCTCTTCGGCACAGCTGACGACGGAGACTTACAAAATGTAAAACGTAATGTTAATAAATTAGCTAATACACAGAAAAATATTATTCACATTGTCGAAGATTCACTTTCTATCTTAAACGTTTCACAATCACATATTTTACAAAATCACAATAAAATCAATGAAATCATTCATTCTTTAAAGGCTATTGAAGCTCATGTAAAAAGATGGAAAATTGCTTTTGAACGCTCTTTAGGTAGATTCAAAACATACTCTCTAAATAATAATCACATTATGTTGGTATTAGATGATATTAAATTCGCTATTTCACTGGCTAAATCACACTTTAACGATTTTAAAGATAAAGTGGATATATTAAGTTTGGGTTTGGTTAACCCAACATTAATATCACCTTCTTATTTACTCCAGTTATTATCAGATATAAAACTCCATTCTCCTAAAAATTACGATTTACCGGCCGATCCGAGGTCTAATCTTTTCGAGTTTTATAAACATTTAAAAAGCTCAACTATGTTTTATAATGATCATTTGCTTATTCAAATACAAATTCCTATCACAGAATTAAACGAAAAATATGAGGTGTTTCGTGTTTTTAATATAGAAACTGCTTACATGCCTAATAATAATTCGGATCAAAAGGTTATTGCTAAATACAAATTAGATTATGACGGTTTAATTTACAACAAAGAAAGAACAAAATTCTCTGTCTTAACATCGTCTGAACTAGATGATTGTCAAAATAACTTCTTAAAATATTGTGATATTGCTTCTCCAATATATCAACGTAGTGTTACGAATATGTGTATTTCAGCATTATTCCTTAAAGATGGAAATGCTATAAGGGCAAATTGTAAAATAATGATTAATACGAATGCATTTTTACCTAAGGCGGTTAACATTTTAGATGGACGCTGGCTTATTAGCACCACAAAGGATTTAAAATTTGTTTTAGTATGTCATCCAGCCCGCACAACCAGACAAGAAATAGTGGCTAAAGCGCCAATTTCGGTCTTAAATTTAGAACAAAACTGTAAAGCCTTCAATAATCATCTGATCCTTACTCCTTGGTTTCAGAAAAACTCTTCTTCTAGAGTCTTAAATAATAAACTGCATACATCTTCTCTATTTTGGTCTAACATAACTACGAACCATTTGTGGAAAGAACTGCATATTAACTTACATAACTTTTCGAATTTTAAGATCCCAAATGAACTTAAACCTATTACCAACATACCTTTGGACGCATTAGTATCTAGACTTAATTACCTTAAACATATTCAATTAGAACAAACAACATCATTTCCTCTTTGGGCTATTATTCTGATCATTTCTGGGGCTTTCGTTGTAGTTATTGCCATATTGTTAAGTATATATTTTTTTCGGAAACGCATATTAAAACATAAGCAACTGCCGCAAATCTGTCATGGCTCACGGTCACAATTGAACATGAAAGGCGAGAATAAAACTCTATACAAGCTCGTGTCAAACTTGTCGGAGATGCGTCAGGAGGACAACGAATTACTCAACAAAGCAGATGTACCCCAAGACACTATTTTGTCAGCCTTATATCCGAAACTGTCATAAACTCAGTGCAAAACAAAGTCATATAGACATTAACTTTCTCTTAACAACAGGAATAAGTATATAGTAAAATGCATTACAGTGTCAACTAAGTCAACATAAATTATCGAAACGACATATCAAGTCTAGACTCAAATCCATAAACAACTCATTTTGGACAAAGCAGCAAATAAGACTAAGCCTATATATACTGCTCCATAGTGCCTTTCGACACAGTTATTCATCCATTCGGATACTTTACAGATCAAATTCTTTTGTTCATCGTGCTCAACTTGTTAAAATTTTGTTTCAAAATGGTTTTTATCAGGCGTTTCAACATTGGAATGTTGTTCAGGGCCATGGTCCTCGAACACTTAGTGAGGATTGTATATAGGGCAGTGTTAGACATTTTAGAGCCAAATTGCGAACTGTGCGAAAATGTAAGTGACTGTAGTCACGAGATACGGCAAATTGACGTGATCACACATTTCTCAAACATCTTCGAGACTTCGGTCAACATTATGGCAGAAGCTCGTGTAACACACTTGTTCCTGAGACGGGCAGAATTTCACATACAGAATACAGTCACCGGGAGAGGACAGGACGTCTGTTACCATTGCTTAAGGATGGAGCTAACCCCTGCCACTCTCGGTAATCTTATAAACGACTGTCGAATTATGGAAGAAGTTTTTCACCGGGTCCTACAGAAGACAACTAGATCAACTTCGTCGGAGCGGTACCAACTTTGGCCGACAAACAAAGTGTGCCAGGCCGCCGTCGACATGGGACTCGGTGACGTTAGCTGAAGACAGCATCTAAACTTTCTCTTTTTATTTTTTCTTGTTAAAAAAAAAATATATAAAAAAAAAAATTGGTTCATAAAAAAAAAAAAAATTTGTAGCTTATATTACGTTTTCTTATACGGTTAAGGGTTGTTGTGTTTTTTTTTAAATATTGCATTATGTAGAACAATTTATTATTTGTTGTTTATTTTAAGTATTTGGGGTATTTGTTTAAATTTCTTGTTTTGTTTTTATCATACTATGTTTACATATATTAATTTTTTTTCATCCATTACAGATGAACTACAGCAGGTTTTTGGTATTGCGGGATCGTATAATTTTATATATTATTATGTTCTTTGTAGTCAAAATAACAAAATTAATTATCATATAATTCAGTTATCACTTGTCATATTCTCAACAGAAAGTAATTAATGAACTTATGTTAATTCAACTAGTATTCTTTGTAAAACGTTGTATTTTATACAAGTTGTTAAAATTGTGTGTTTTAAAATTTTATAATTTCATTTCTTTGTCTTAAATATATGTTTAACTTTTGTTTTCCTTTCGTTTCGTTTCAGGTATACGAATGTATAACCTCTACGCATATCGTTTTCAAAAGAAAAAAAAAAACAAAACAACAACACAGATGTTCTTGAAACTTGCCGTTGGTTTACAACATAAAGCAAAAGTGAAAATTGTGTTTTTTGTTATAGTTCTGTGTTCATAGAAATTTTTTCTATTCTAAGCAATTTTTCGGAGGTTCTACATTCGTGTCATAGTTTTATGAAAAAAAAAAGTGACATATTTACTAGGACTTGTTTTAAACAGAAATATATTCCTTATTAACATGTGTGATGTTGTGAACAAAATATATATGAAAATCTAGGACACTCATTTTCTCGAAATACTTATCAAATATCTCATTATCTACATGTGTAAATGTCTAATTACCTTGGTTTCTATTCTGAATATGTTATACTACTATATGAAACTATAAATATATATATAAAATAAGTCAAATTGTGCTAGTATACTTTGAAAATCTATTATAATTAGAATTGTAATTGTTATCATTACCATTATATCAAAATATAATAAAATACTATACAGTTGTTATAAATGGATGAAACATAAACACCATTAAAATCTGTTAGCCTTTAGAAAAAATGTTATATTGTTAGGAAACTGCGTATCATTTTTTACCTTATATTTTTATTCCATTTCACTATTACATCTGGGCACTTCGAAATCTTATACAATACTGATTTTAAATTTTTGAATTGTTTTTTAAAATATCTGTAAATATTTTATAATGGCCATGGGGGTATTGTCATATAGTACGCATTTCAAGCATTTCCTCAATTAAAACCCGTGGGTCAATTATATTAGACAGCTTGTCCGGTCTTAATAAACAGATGTCAACAACAATAGTACTTTCCGCCTGATAAAGATCTCTAATTACTAGAATGGGGATAAAACATTTTATTAGCGGTAATTAAGTAGAACAATACAATATTAGAGGTTCTTAATTAATGCGTCCTGTCAAGTATAAGCGAATATATATATATGTTTAATTGTTACCTGCCTCAAAGCGGGGAAAAGTTGGTTTAATAATTCACTTTTATTACACATAGCGTAGGTTGATTATCCCTTTAAATACTCAAGGATCAGACTAGTATTTCAGTGTCGGTTTTAATGTTAGTAGGCACTCACTTAATTTTGGTACGCAGTTATAACTTACTCTTTGATTGTTTAACTTGGAAACTTTGATTATAAATAAATGTTGAACTTACTGTAAATGCATATCCTAGTAAACAATAATTAAACTGAATGACATTTGAATATACACTGTGTTGACTTATTGTATTTGAGTTTATTCAGATAACCGGTTACAACACAATTTAAGGCAGATTTATATTTTATCCTTTACATTTTTCAATATCAACTGTTGGTCGATCATCAAAATTACAGTCAACCGTTTGAAATATATAGCCAATTCAGCTCAACTTGACGATGACAAAATTTCACTTTAAACGTATTTGTTATTGTATATGAATATAATATAATATGTTATGCTTAATAGAAATCTTATCAAAATCCCTCTTCTGAACATCGTATTAAAATCAATTGAAAGAAGATTAATGACAAAGCGAAGTTAAATGAGAAAATAATATCAAATGTATAAAATGAATTTGATTGTTTCATCAACAAAATGTTTACAAGATTTCAACAATATCAGTTACAGCAAAGGGTGTGTTACTATTTGATAACATAGAAAAAAGAGAAATCATTAATGATGTAATCGTCATTATCATCAAAGAAATGTACTCATTACACCGTATTAATATTATATTTCCTTTATCAACGTAAAGGAGACAACAAGTTCTTGTACTTGAACAGACAAAATGCTTATTAATCTTTTTGATTTGTGATGAGTAACTAGAGTTTCTATCCTTTCATATTTTGTGACTATATCCTTTTAATATCCCTTTAATTCCCTTATGGGCCCGTTTTAGTTGATATTATTTCACATGACATGTCCCACTCCTTTCACCCTTATGTCCGCTCTATGTTGTTTTGAGTGTGTCGGGGGCCGCGTCCTGTGAACGTTGCCTTTGCCTTGTTGATCTTTATTCTTGTGTTTATATATCAACAATAATAAAGAAGAACGATAAAAGATTGTAAAATATTCCTCATTAATAGCAGACAAAATTGAAATCAGGTAACGGGTGCATCACGTAGATTCGTCAATAATGATTTAAGCGTCTTTTAAGGGCAACGATATGTCTCCAAACAAAAATTATTCATTGTGGTGTTTGAATAAAAAGAAGACAAAGAACATTAAATACACCCTCATAAGTGTTCTTTATCACTATAAATCGTTGTTTTTGAAAAATTATTGTCTTTCAATTAAATACATCTGTTGTTGTCAGAGGAAACATTAAATCATCTTTTTATGATCGGTTTATAATTAGAAAAATATATTCCTAGTATAGTTCTAGTCATTATAAATTACGCCATGCTTACTCCTACTAATAAAATATATAAAAGCATATCCAACAGCATATACACAGAAAAAATGAAAAGTTTACATTTATCTGTTGGGAAAATATGTAGAACAAAATAAATAAATATACTCAAATAAATAGAAAAAAACGAGTATTTGCTGCGACTCATTGCCGGGTTAAAGTTAAATTTAAAGTTTAAGCGCCGTACAATTCTAGGTATTTTTGGGTTATAAATTAAAGTTTTTTACTGGAAAACCGTAGTGAGGGAATGATCATAATATTTTCAAGGTATTTGTTCGAACCCACATCAAGAGGAACAAAATTATCAAAAAAG